CCTCCCCCAGCCGTGACCGTGGGCAGCTGCCACAGTTACCGGGCACTTGCAAAAGCACGTTTAGGTTCTGGAAATTCTGCAGTCGTGCTAACTGCTCCCTGAGGAGGCAAGTCTGGGGAGGGGGCGTTCCAGGTAGAGGGACCCTCCTGGATGCACATGTAAGAAACCCACGCAAGGTGCTCAGGACAGGCCAGGCAGCGCAGGTAAAGCAGGCCCAGGTTCCGGAGGGCCGGGCCCAAGACCCAGACCCGACCCACAGGGCCAGCCGGGAGCTGTCTGCTTTTAACGCTCCTTTTAGCCGGGGAAGTAAGGGTACGAATAACCATAGTGCAGGCAGGATGGGATCCCACCCTAAGAGAGGAGCTCGGGGAGGTCTTATCTGGAAGCTCCCCCAGCTCCCAAATGCTCACAAAAGGATTAAGTGAAACACAGACACAACGATTCTTATTTGGCAGCTGGGGATACAGCTTGCCCAGGAGCAGGCAACTTGAGGAGATGGGATTAGACAAGTACGTTTGTCCCACGTCCACCTTCTCAACCCCTGGACTGCCCGTCGGCCCTGCCCGTCCAGACGGCTAACTGCAACGCGGCTGGTTCCGCTATAGCACACGTCACCGAGAAGTCGGAACTGGACTCGGCTACAGTGCTGGTTCCCAGCACGTGGAAGCATCGCTTGCAGGACACAGAGAGAGGAATCATGCAGGAAACAGGCCTCAGGAAGAGAAGCCTCGGCATCAGAGTTCCTCCACCAGCCTGGGGACAGGCGGAGGCTGGGGGGGGACGGACCCCAATCACCCTGCCCACGGCCACCTGCACAGGAAACATCCTTCCGTCCTTCCGACTGAGTGGGATTCCTGCAGAGTCCTGTGGGTGGCACGGCCACGTTGGCCGAGCTGCTTCCCATCAACAAGCTCTGCATTACTGTCATTACCAAGCTCCTGCCACGTGGCAGGGGCTGTGCCAGGCACTTAGCTATGCATGGCGTCCAGCTCCCATGGCTCGGAGGGGCAGGCATGCGTTTCTCCATGTGACAACTGCAGGGAGCCCGTCAAACTCTTTCAGGAGCCTCGTTTTTAACCAACTCCCTGACTGATTCTGGTGCACGCTGAAGTTTAAGGAAATAAAATACACGCGTCTGGGTTGTGATTCGTGGTCTACTATCTACGTATGTTCTGATATTCACTTACAGGGTTCTGTTCATTCGTTCAAACAGCAAATATTTGCAGACTAAGAAGTACATGCTAAGCCACGCCCGGGCACGTGTCCACCAGGGCTAAGGTAATGACCCTCTCCAAGGGACGGGTGTATGTTTGGGTGGTCTGGGTGTGTGCCAGGCCACTTAGAAACTTAATTCCTTGAAAAACAGAAACACGAAGTGAAGCAACACCACGCTGCAGAACATTACACGAATGACCCGACGTCCACCCGTGGCTGTCCATCTGAGGAACCTATGGACCTTCTAAAACATACTCATGCCCAGGTCTACCCTTAACTGATTCTGATTCAAAAGGTCTGCAGTAAGTCCAAGCACCTGCTTTTTAAAAGTCCCCAAAGGGCTTCGGACCCATAGCCAGGGTGAACCCCCGAATCTCTCAGTGGCAGGAGACACGGGAACACTGGTTTCTCCCGTGGGCATCATAAAAATACCTCTCACATAGTAGGCGCACGATCAGTGTTTTCTGCTGGTGAACGATACCACTCCTGAGAGCGCGTGGTCCTCTCAGGAGAGGAACACAGCTGGGTACCGTGAAGGGAGGTCACGCCAGGTCAGAGCACAAACTAACACCCTCCCTGGAAGCGGCAGAACAGGTTGGCAGGGAGGCACGCCTGCCCGTCTTCTACCAGATACTTTCGGTCACAAGTGTCCCTGCCCTTGACAGGCAGCCGCGTTGCACGATATGGAATGGCAACAGCAATGACCCGATCAGAGCTCTGCTGTGGGCAAAGCACTCAAGCTAATGTCAACGGATTTGATCTTCTAGGAACGCTTCCGCGAAGACTGAGCAGGCATCACTATGCTCATTTTATAGACGAGGAAACAGGAAGCTACTTCAACGCTATGGTTTTAGGATTCCTGACACACGTCTCACACAAAATCAGAGACCGTGAGCCTCAAGGGCAGGCTCTGAAAAGGGTCCAAAGTGACTGGACGGGTTGAAACAACTTTTACGTGGACAGAGCCAGTCCTCGAAGGCACTAGGCTCTGCACCGTGATTACTGAGCGGGCTGTGGTCAGTCTAGCGCAGGGGTCGGCAAACTCATTTGTCAACAGAGCCAAACATCAACAGTACGACGACTGAAATTTCTTTTGAGAGCCAAACTTTTTAAACTTAAACTATATAGGTAGGTACATTGTTATTAACTTAATTAGAGTACTCCTAAGGCTTAGGAAGAGCCACACTCAAGGGGCCAAACAGCCACATGTGGCTTGCGAGCCGCAGTTTGCCGACCACGG